GGGGCGGGCTGGCTGGCATGTGGTGCTGGGGGATTGAACTGCGGTCCCTGTGCTTTGCTTAGCTTGTTCTAAGTAGGTGCTTTAGACCACTGAGCATCTTACCAGCCCTAGAAATACATTTATGTTTAACAAAAAGGTTATGATGAGTTAGTTTATATGTCAAATTTTATTATTTCTAAATCACAGGAACTGACACCCATATAAGCAGTAGATTGAATCTGTTTTTGGCAATCAAGGCAAGTGATGGACTGGGAGATAGCTCAGCAGTCTAAGTACCTGCCTGGCAAGCACAAGAACCCAGGTTTGATCCCTGGTACCACATGCAGTGCTGGCCCTGGAACCCTGGACATGCCACATCAGCCACCCAAACTGGGTGTGGTGGCACACCCCTGTCATCCCAGCACTGGGGAGGCTGAGACAGGAAGATCACTATGAGTCCATGCTGCATAATGTACAAAATAAATAAATAAAAGAATTTTTAAAAGGCAAGTGATAATTTCATGAGCCTGTTTATGTGTAAGATTCAAGGAATGAACAACTGCTTTAGCAACTTGGTGAAGAAGTTGATGTGTAGCAAGAACCTCTTCTAAAGAGGTAGAAAGCATAGCCAGCATTAGCATGAGTGTTGCCCGCCGCTAGAGGGCCGAGAGATTAGAGTAAGGGTGTAGGTGAGTTGTAGGAAAAGGTGCAGCGTGGTATGTAGTCAGTTGTTGCAGATCTCCAAACACATGGAATAGAATTTTATCATTAGTGTCATGAATAATAGTGGTTTCAGTAACCTGTAGGGATCTAATGACATAAGCCTAATCAGCAGCAATACTAAGGGGTTGTTCAGGGAACTGTTAAGTGTTATCAATTAGTAGAAGTTGATATACAACATTAGCAGATACAAAGTGTAAAGCTTTACTATAAAAAACTTGAGATCAAGAGAAACATAATATCATCAAAATTTTCATGCTATCATATTAAATCACATGAAGAAATTTTCACTGAAATCTGTTGTTTTGTAATAGTGTGTCACCCAGGAAGAATTAAATATATTTTATGTAACATTATTTGGACTGCACAGTGAGCATTGTTAGGTATTGTAATGCACACACACATATATACCTATGTCTGTATCTATATATCAGTATCTATAGATGTATATAAGCTTAAGCATTGAAAAAGTATTTGTGTCTTTTGGTTGGCTTGCCTAGTTGGATTGGCATACATATTTCATAAGGACTAGCTGGAACAAAAATGAGAGAAAGGTAGATATTTCAGTTGAAAAGTTTATTATCATGAATAACTTTAGTTTAGAAGTCACCGATATGATAAGGTGGTTTTTAGCTTTGTATCCTTAAAGACCTATTGATCTGGGAAATATAAATATAAATGTTTAATACATGATTAAACCAGCAATGATGGATGTTAGAAACCAGGTTGACACTTCTGGAAAAGACAGTCTGTTTTGTGTTGAGGCATTGGCCAATTGGGTGTTTCTGGTAGTCATCCAGAAAAGTTCATGTTTAATATTAATCTGAAAAATGAGACTAGTAACCTTTGTCTGAAAGCAATCAGTTAGATTACAGAGGAGTCTTGAGACATGGGAACGAGTGATTAATGAGAGTCAGAGCCATCACCTCTTATTCTTCTTTGTACAACATGGCATTTTTAGAGGAAGTAGTTTGTGCTCAATCAAACCAAAAATAAAACATATATTTCATTGTATATACTGCATGTCCCATGAACATCATTGAGCCTTTAAGTTTTGTCACTATCAAAAAATATTCTAATCCAAAATCTTCTCCCATCAAAAATATTTCTTTATACTCTTCTCTCTGTTTCATTTACTATAACTTTCCAAAGTAAACTTGGCTGCTGCCATATGGAATTTATAATGTCACAGTGCAAATCCTACTGACTGGCACTAAGCCTTTCAAGCACTCTTGAACAGTAAGCTTATCTTACTACCAGCAGAAATCAGGAAGAAGAGCAAGTGAACCCTGTAATTATATCCTGAGAGTTTACAAAGTACAAAAAATGTTTTAAATATATCAGTTAAACAAAATACAAAGTTAAATAAAAAACCAAAATTAAATTCATTAGGTAGCTGAGGTTTGTGACAAGGGGCTCTTGTAAATTTAGCAAATGGTATTTATATTGGGCAAAGTTTCAGAAAAAATTATTTTTCTTATTTCTCTTTCCTAAGGCATAGAATGTCTATTACTTTAGATTGGTCCCTCTGACAGTTTTTCTTTAATCTCCTCCAATAAAGTTTGATGTATACTCTGAGAGAAACTCTCCTGTACCCTCAACAGGCAGTAAAATATAAACTAATTATTTACCTTAACTCATGCATGAGGTTATTTGATCACCACAAATGTCTATGTTGTTACTCCCTTGCACTGGATTCTCTGTTCTTAAAATAACAATCTCTGATATTCTATAACTTCTGGGTGATCAGAGTAGCCGGGTAAAGTAGACCTCAGAAAAGGAGTGGGACTCATCTTCCTCCTTCCCCAGCCCATTACACCCAGGCACAGAATTTCCCTGGTGGGCCCCCAGTTGAGAAATAAACGGGTTTACTTGTTCAGATCCGGGTTAGACTCTGGAGGCCGCCAAAACATGGTTGTAATTTGATACTCTTATAATAATGAATTGCTGAGTTTAAACAACACAGGTACAGCTATTGTAAATAGTTATTAGAATGAACACACAGATGGACAAATGTGCAAAACGTTTTTCTGGTCGATATATTTTATTGACTTGAGTTTTCTTTTTTCTAGACCTCTTTTCTTCTTTTTCCTGTTTTTCTTTTATTTTTTATTTTATGCTTTAAAGTTTTTTTTTTTTTTTTTGTTTCACAGTTGGGTTTTTTCTTTTTAGTACCAGAAATCAAACTCAGGACCTATAGCCAGGTGCTGTGTCATGAGCTATATCCCTAGACTACAGTCAGATATTTTTAAAAGCCACTGTAAATGTTGCCTACATTTATTATTTTCCTTAGATAAGGCATGATGCATATATTAGGCAAAGCAAGAGAAAAGAAAGTAAAAGGGCAAAATAGGAAACAGATGAACTGTCCCCACTCACTAAGCAGTTGAACAGCTAGGTGACCTGTAGGTGGTCCCATGATAGTATAAAACCAAAGATAAGAGAAAAAGCACGGAAAGCAGCACTACCCCACTCACTTAGCAACTGGATAGTTAGAAACCCTCTGGTCTGACAAGACCCGCCATTGCCTCACCAGAGACCTGCCAAGACATTGTTCTCTGGTTGTCTATGTCACCTGACCAGGATGAATAAGAAGTTGGAGGTTCTTATTCCTCCTCAGACTTGGGGAGGTTGGTCCACTGTGCTGATTTGTAACTGTAGGTTTTGCCTTGCAGATTCATATCTCATGGTGCCACCTCACCATTTCTTTGCCTCACATGTGAGTTCATGCCCCACACAGAGCACCACTTGTCACAATATGCAGCCATGGCTTACTTGTGACAGTATGCAGCCATGGCTGTGAACAAGGTGAAAATGGTTACTCAGAGACAAGAATCCCAAGAGGCTTCTTATGCTCAAGAGGGGGCACCGCAGGGACCCAGCAGCAGGCTGAGACCTCTGTAGTAGCTTATTTATGACTCAAAGACATGAGAACAAAGAACTAGAACAAACCATGTCTGCAGGAGTTTTCACCAAGTAATAGAGAGGGAGCAGAATGGTGTGTTACAGGACACAAGCCAATCCAATTTAGTCATGCCTACCAGAGGCTGTGGAAACACAGTGGCTAAACCAAGAACTTTCCAGAAACAAGTTGCTTTGTTTCTGTTGGTGGCCTACAGGTCTGGTCTAAATTTAACTTATTCATTTTAGGAGTCCTGAACTGTTGCAAGAGAGAGTCCCTTCCTCTTTTTTATTCATTTCAAACACTCCATTGGCCAGAATCTCCCCACAAGTTCACCAACCTTTAGTTCCTCCATTGGAAAACATCACACATGAGGTATATAGATTCAATAATGAAGAATTAATGAAAGTGAATAGCAAATATAGCTTCAAAAAGCCCAATTGCATCTTGGGGAGCATAGCAAGTATACAGTGGCGGTGGATCCTGCAATCTCTAGACTTGGCATTGAGGACATAACCTTTTTTTTCCAGAAGTAAAGGAAACCACATTGAGTCTTGACTTGTCTTCTCTGTGTTTCACATCTAGGCTGCACGTATGAAGGAAATACCTACAACAGCTCCTTCAAGTGGCAGAGCCCAGCCAAGCCCTGTGTCCTGCACCAGTGCCAGGTAAGACCAGGAAAAACAGCCCCAAGAGACCCTGCAGCAGCTGCTTTCAGCCAACTAAGGGTGAAACCCAAGCAGATAAACAAAAACGAGAAACAAACGCACCTCCCCTGCTGCATCCTTGTAGTCTACTGTGACATTATTAGGACATTCACCAGAACCACACAGGCACAGGGTGATGCTGTGTAGGACTTGTTTCCAGGAAAGTAGCAGGATGGTCTACCATTGTAAACTGTGCCTGGAAAAACTCCAGGAAGATGCGTATGTCCTCGGGGAAGATATATGTCTTCCTGTGAAATCATCTTGGGTAAAACACAGATTCCTGTTAGCAGAAAAGAGGTATTGTTAGACAAGACATGTTTTCCTTCTTTGATTTAGAAAGATTTTGAGTAGAAGCCAATCTGTAAACTGTATTAAAGTGAAGCAATTAGTACACTGCAACCTCAGTGATTTTGGCATGACAGATCTAAGGGCCACCAGTCAGCATCTAAGGAGCCCATTGTGCCTGGTCCTCGTGGGCTCAGACAGCAACAGTGACCTCACACCGCTCTGATGTCTGCAGGCATCACACAGCATGATGGATCAAAGGGGCAATAAAGGACCCAAGATTTGAACTCATTTTCTTATCTCTTCAGAAATACCCTGTTTAAAAGAACAAAAGTCATCTAATTCTAATGTTACTTAAAAATCCTTGCCTATATCAAATGTGCTGCTAAATCATTTTATCCTAAATCCCATTTCATTATTCTAATGTTGCCTGTGAATTTGAAGGAGGTTGGAAGATGAATATGGTAAGGGCTATTTCTTTCCCATCTCATCTCAAGCATGTTGACAAGATGTTGCACTCTCTATTTTATATAGTAATGCAGTATGTCTTCAGTTGTTCAGTGAAACATTCAACTTATTCATGCAGTGAGGTAAAGTAATTTGCAAAAATAAGCAGTAATAAAATAGATATAAATAATAGATGCATTGAATCAATTGCAGTTTGTTGAATTTGATAGTCCACATCATAAGTTTAGCCAGTGTTCTGGCACAAAGAGACAAGCACAATGGCTTTTAATAACACCAGAAGCCTTCTGGTGTTGCCAGGCTTTGTACCCCTTCATCTGTACCCTGTCTCTTTTTTGCCTTTCAGTACTGGGGATTGAGCACAAGACCTCACACATAGTAGAAAAGTGTTTGGCTATGCTACTGCTGAGCTACCAGTCTTTTTTAGTTTTTAAGACACGACCTTCCTAAATTGCCCATAGTGGCCTAAAGTTGAGGTCCTCCCAAGTAGCTGGGTTATGGGCGTGAGCCTTGGTCTCTCTTTGAATCATTTAAGTTACTATCCTTTTGCCTAGCCTCTTCAGTGAAATGTCCATTTGTTAACAAGGGCATCTGAGAGCATGGTTGTAGTACCTGATAAACAAAAAGACTACATGCCCTTTGGGATCTGAGGTCACATTTCTCTAAACAACAAGAAGTTCTGAACATCCACAAATTGCTTGGACCAGGGTCACTTCTGCTGCTTTTGGATGAAGATGTTCCTTACATTAATGGAAACTACCATGCAACAGGAAATATTTTTTGCCTGGAAAACATAGTAAGCTATTACAGGAGATTCCTTTTGCCTGCTATCTTTGGCTATTGGCACACAGATCAAATTATTATCTGTGCAATCAAGAAACCAGAGCTACAGAGCAAGGCTCTGAAAGGGGGAGTCACCTGCGAAACGTGAACCTCATCTTTCTGTTTTCCTTCTGTGCTAAAACTTCCCCTGAGCCCTGCTAGCTAGTAAGGAGTTGTTTCCATGAATAAGAAGGGCAAACTTCAGGGAAGGTGGCCACAAAAGGCAGTGCCTTTGCCCACCAGTACCTTCTCATGCCTACCTTTCTGTTTCCTTCTTTATGAGGGTGCAGGAAGTGACCATTTACCAGTACCTGCTGGGCAAGTCTCCTGTTCTTTCTAGGAATAGTGTGATTGCCGTCTTCCTGAAGTTCTTCTGAGGGCAGGAGGTCAGTAACAGAGAAGACAGTCAGTCAGGCAGGGAAACATGGCTGTGTAACCTCTCTGTACCTCCATTACCCTCCATAAAATGGGAACAGAATGATCTCATTGGGAGCTGCAAACAATAAGCTAGACTCTCATTAAAAATGTTCTTGGGATCTGCCTGCCTGTAACAAGTGCAGCCAGGAACTGAACAGATGCCAGAAAGCCTGATGATGCAGTCTTTACTTGCATTTAATCCTACTTTCTTACATCCTCTGACAAAAGGAGTTATGGTGGTGAAAATTTTACCTCTTCCTTTCTATTTGTAATTTCTCAATGGGAGAGGATAATCTGAAGATCACAGGCAAGAACTTTATGCAGGGAACCAGATGAGCACCCATCTGGTCTGGAGGTACTAAAGGAAAACTGACCCCAGGACTTAGCCTTCTGCAGTTGGGTTGCTACGTGTGGGTCCATACTGTCTGTTGCCGATATTTTGGATTTTTCTCCCAAATGGGGTCTGGGCCACAGTGAATTCCTCTGGTGGTAGTAGGGACCTCGGGCCTGGTGTGTAGACGTTTAGGAGATAGCCACTATTGGTGAACCGGGATGGCACGGTCACAGGCGCAGTAACGGAAGTGGCCTTGTTGTCAAATTGTTGCCCCTGTCTTGTGTACTCTCCTTCTAAAAAAATGAAACACATCACACCAACAGAAATGCATGCTCACTCACACAATAAGTAGAGAATAAGGAGCAAACACTTCAAAGACCAATGCTAAAAAATTAATTTTAAAATGTGATGAGTATTACAGTCCCATGAATAGTAACCTGCATCAGCAGTTTGCAGATGACTCATTCAGTTTCATAATTAAAACCTAAATCTGTGTTTGATGTCTTCAGTGAACTGAGATATAGCCTTGTCTGATCTCCTGCAATGCTGAAAAAATGGAGACTCAGGCCTCACTGAGACCTAGTGATATTTCTGAGACTGTGGAGCTGGTCTATTTGTTTCTAGAAGGAGGTCAGCATTTATTTGGACTTGGGGACTACCGGATGCTTCTCAGGTCTCTGTGCTCCTTAGCTAATACCTTGAAGCATTAGAATAATAATCAAAAATACAGTCAGCATTGAAGATGTAAGACAGCTGTCACTGAGCATCTCGACTCTGTCAGCTATCCATGGACAACAAGGAAGTCTTAAAAAGAGATTTAAAAGAAAGAAAGCAGGGACAAAGACAGTGTGTAAAGCGAGGAAAAAGAGGGCTATCAGTGTTCTCTCTCTGAGGTCCAATGCATCAATAGGCATGAACAGGGGATCATAGCTCATTTGGGCCGAGCGCTTCTCGGCCTGACGCATACCCTATTGCACACTTTGTGGGTTTGGGTTCTCCTGCTTGGTTACTTTCCTGAAGTTTAGCTCCTTGGCAGGAGTGCTGGGCTGGCTGACTATGTGCTGTCTTTTGCAGGAGGGTGTTGTCACAGAATCCCAGGTGCGCTGTGTAATTCACTGTAGAAACCCAGTGGAGCACCCAGGAGCCTGCTGCCCCACCTGTCCAGGTAACATCCCCAGGAAGTGGGAGGCCAGGAGACTCCTTGGCACAAGGCCAGAAGAGCATGGCAAGGGCATGCCGGGCATGAGGGCAGTGTGCTGTGGGTCTTGGCCGGTGGCTTCTCTGGGCCTGCCTTCCACTTCCAGGTCCACAGTGGCTTCCCTTTGTTCCAGAAATGTCTTCACCGCTTGGTACTGTGGTGCCTTTCCTGGAGTTTGCCCTGATGAAGAGATTACCAGATGTTTCTGACAACCGAGAGCTCTGTACCATGTGAAGTTAGCTTAGGGCTTTGCTGGCATTTTTTTCCCCTGTGGCTCCACAAGTCGTGCCCACTCTTGTAGAGAGGCCCCTGCCCAGCTGACAGTGAAGAGCTCTTCCTTTTCCAGCAGCCAAACCTTTCCTCCCACTTTCCCTCAGGGACTGCAGAGGCCTCCTGCAGCTCTGCTTGCCCTTTCCCACAAGCCTGGGGATTCTGAAGTGAGACATTTTTCTGATCTCTTAAGCACTCACCGATTGCATAGGACGGATGTTCTGTTTTTGGAGTTTTCTCTGAGCGCTTGTGCTAACTGGTAACTATAGGACCTCTACACTTTACATTTTGGGGGACTCTGATGCCTTGCTGTTCTTTGAGTCTCCAGTGAAGTGGTGAAGGTCCCAGGGGTCCTCTATAGACATGAGCACCTCCATCTAGTGGACCCTAGTCCTTTCCAGAATTCAGTCCTCTCTTGTCCTTGAATGACAAGGACAGAGAGTTGACCTCCTTGTGTCTTGCACAGTCTTCATTCAGCTTCCTTTCATGCTGGGATTTCTGCGAAGTGTGTGTTACTGATGAGCTCATATGAAAGCCAAAACCTGGATAAAAGCACACTGATTCTTCCATAATCACATTATTTTGTTTCTGTCCCACAGTCTACCGAGTGCCTTTCTCCTCTGATGCATCAAATGCTTTACATCAGGTCACCATGCCCTTGAACGTCAGTGGGATCTTTACCAAGTGGATGAGTGGCTCTCTTGGGTGGCACACTGGTATTTCCCAGGAAGCTGAGGTGCTGTGTTTTGTGCCCGGGCTGCAGCTCAACTCAAGTCCATTAGAAGCTGGGGGTGGGGAACAGCCTCCCTGGAGATTTTCATACACAGCCAAACTGGAAATTGATAAGAGAGAAAACTTTGTCACGCGGATGTAAAGGGCATCTTAACTCTTAACTGGATCTGGGAATGTTGAGCAGACAGTTGCCTTGTCAGTGCAGGATTTACTTGGAGCCTCCCACTCCCGGCCAGGGACCCTCAAGGGGCAGAAACAGCATCAAGGAGCCCTTGACTCCCAGCACCCCTCTCTGTGGGTAGCGTCCTCTCACGCTGGGGAGGTGGGTGTCCAGGCTGCCTGTGAAACATGATTACAAACAGCAGCATGACTTAACCAGCACAGCTGAAGGCTCCTGTGTGAGCTTTCTTGACTCCATGTTTTGGCTGAGTTCCCAGGAAGGAAAGGGCCAAGAGCCATAATCACATAGGTTATGGTCCTGGCAGTGGGGGCTGAGGTGTTGGTGACAGCAGTGCCTGCCAAGGTCCTGAGGGAGCAAGGACAAATGGATCCATGCTCCTCTCTCCTGACACTCCACTGCATACCACAGCAAATACCTAAACTCAGTTCCCTCTTTAAAAGCCAGTGAGCCAGGGTCACATGCCAGCCTGACACCTGGGAGGCTCCGTGCCCTAGGGTAGGAAGCCAGCATTCAACTTCGTTTCTCTGCCTCAATTATAAGGACAGCTTTTGGGATGCAAGTGGGAAGGTTCAGAAGCCACCTTCAAAGTCAGTCACCTTTTGTCATGGGAGACCCTTCACTGAGCATGGGCCAGGCAGGCCAGGCCCTGGCTGTGTCCTTGGAATTCAGGAGGATGGTGTCTGTCATTTACCAGGCATGGCATTGCATATGATGGCAACCATGCCTAGTCTGTGCTGGGTTTCTTCCATGACATTTCTGCCCATTTCCTCCTCCTTGCCCTCTGTCTGACTCTTTGCTCAAGAGGATGGTGTATTGTTATGGGAACCATTTTCCCCTTAAAATCCCCTGACCTCGGTGTCAGTGTTCATTGCTATGGTTAGTCTCTCTGGAAATCCGGATGACAGAGTCAGCGGTGTAAACACAGGAAAAGACTGGAGACACTTTGTTGAACTTGTCCTTTAGAGAGAGGCCACCAGGTATCTGCCATTTAGGAACAACACTGAGACACAGCCGCTAGGGACCGCGCTTACCACATCTTCCCTGTCCCTGAGAACAGGACGGGTGGCTGGAGCTGGCTTTGCGTGTGGGATTCAGACAGATCTTATTCCTGGAACAGTTTGAAAATTCATTTTTACTTGCTCCTTTGGCTTTAGACTCAGCAGTATTTGCCTACACATTTGTAGCAGCTTTAAGATGGGCAGATGGGGCAGTGCTTGCTCTTCACTGGGAACGAGGTGCCTGAGAGTGGGGGTCTTCTGCTGATAGCTTTAGCCAGTGGACCTGGGGCAGTTCTTCTGTGCCCTGCAGAAGAGCCCAACAGTGGCTTGCTGCCTAGCACTGTAAGGGTGGCCCCACTTCTGGCCAAGTGGCTCATGAGCACAGTACTGGGAAAGTGGCTTTGCTAGTAACCCAGAGGCTCCGTGGCCCACAGGACACAGAGTTAGCAGCCAGCCTGTACTGTAGGTCACTTGTGACATTGCTTCAGAATGTGGCAGTGCCCCGAGCATCTTTCTCATGAAAGGACATGTTCTGGGTTTTGGTCTTTTTGACCCATCCTTGGTGGGCCCAGAGCCCTTGATGATATCCTGATGGAGCCACAGGCCCATAGGGTCACTGCCGACCCCACCTCTGCACCTTCTTGTCTTTGCATCGGGTTTGCTGCCTGGTGCCGAGGGACTCTCAGAACCTAGTTTAGATCCCAGCTGGGCCACATTTGAGCAAGGTGCATTACTTTCCCTGAGGGGCACATTTTCCTCCTGTGTGGAGAGAGGGATGGCCTCCATGCTCTGTAGAACTGCCACAGAGGTGAGGGGGTCAGGCACGCAGGGCAGAAGCTGCCAGCCCTTGGCTGCATCTGCCCTTGATCCCATAGCCAATCCTTCCCTGGCCTCCTTGAGCCTCTGCTGGTCCCCCTGGGGCTTGGGTCCCAGCAGTGGCCAGCATGATCATGACACCACCCCAGGGGCACAGGGTGGGGTGCAGTGCATTTGCACCACACCCACTGGCTGACTCAGGCTCCCCTGAACTTTCCAGATCCTTGGAGTTTCTGGTCCGAGGCCAACATCTTGTACTTTGCATGCTCTATTGTACTGTCCAGGTGCCCTCCCCTGAGCAAAGAGGACACTGCTGGGTGTCTGAGGTGGAGGTGGGCAGGTGGTGAGCAGGACTCCTGCCTGGTTCTGAACTCCACTCTGCTTTCCAGGCTGCCTGTTTCAAGGTGTGCAGTACCAAGAGGGAGACGAGTTTCGGCCGGAAGGGAGCAAGTGCACCAAGTGTTCCTGTCATGTAAGTCCTACGTGAATGTCACCATGGGCCCCAGGCGAATACGGGGCCGGGTCGCCCACGTGGTGGGGCTGGCGTGCGCCATGCAGGATGTGCAGCAGCAGCCTGGCTCCATCCTTAATTCCATCTACAGTTGGCAGGCTCAGCGGGCATTGCCTGGCTCCCTTGCAGTGCAACCTGCCTTCCAACCGAGGACCGCTGCTCCAGAGCATGAGAGTGTGGTCTGTACTCAGCAGCTGCCTCCTTTGGGGGAATTTGTGGCTTCTTGTTTCTTGGGACAGAGAAGCTTCCTGTGGGGGAGGGTATTCTGTGGCAGGTAAACAGAAGGAAATCGCTTATAAACACTGGCTGCAGTGCAGAGGAGAGATTGGCAAAGTGGACCCATATGCTTACCTTTTTAAGCATTGTGATCTTTAATTTATGTTTCAAGGTCATCTGCCAAGGCTATGGGAAGGAGAAAAGGGACATGGCCTGCACTGCAATTTTAAAGAGAGATTTCTTATTAATATATTTACGTTTGGAACACAACCACAGGCAGTAGCGGTGGTGGCCATGCTGGGAGTTCAGGGGTCAGGCCTTATGCAGTGGCAACCACATTACTTACAGTAGGGAGTTGGTACAGTCCTTTATTTTTTTATCTTATTTTATTTTTGTTTTTTCTAATAGAAAACACAATTTCTAAGTCCTGGGTTACATAATATGCATCTTAGAATATTAAAAAGGAAATACATGACAAAATCAAGCATCTAAATTTCACCAAAGCAGAATCGTGGGTGGGCCAGCCCAAATTGCAGCACGTGTTGTTTTTCTGCCTGTCCCACCTCTTCCAGCACAGGCCCTCCATCCTGGAGTCCTCGGTAAAGCCCCGTGGTGAAGGGGACAGTGACTGTGTGGAAGATGGGAGAGGGAAGGAGAGAGGGCAGCATGTCATGTATCTAGATATAGAACCTGGAGTTTATATAGTTTCTTAAAACACAAAAGCAGTTTACTAATGAAAGTGACCACAACATGCATGAACTTCCATGTTTTCTTGCAGATTGTGTGTAGTTTTACGTCTGCGATTGCTCTTGATGCCCATGTGTCAATGTTATTTCCTCCATACAGACAGCCATAACATTTTCTTTTTTATTATTGTTTTATTTTATCTTAAAGAGTAAAAAGAAAAACAAAAGCAAAAACAAATAGCAAAAACTAAGACAGAAACAGTAACATACAACAATATATATATGGTACAAAATTTCAAAACAATAAAAAATTAACATTGGTTGTTATATTATGTATTTTTACCATCAAATCTATTGCTCAGATTAACAGATATAAGTATACAAGACTGTCAAATAATTAAACATTAGCCCATGCTTTCAGTAAACCTTAATTTTTCTTATCCTTTTTACTTTTTTTGGTTTATTTTAAAGAAAATATTATAATAATAATTGATAAGACATTAGAAGTGGTATACTTTTCTATGTATTTGGTGCAGGGTCTCACTATGCAGCTAAGACTTACAGTGATCCTCCTGTTTTCAGCCTCCCCAACCCTGACATCACAGGCGTACACCACCATGCCTGGTCTGAGTGGCCTTCTAAGTGCACCCAGGGGTGGAGCTGGCGTGCATTCAGTCCTGGGATTTGTACTCTGGTCCCTGCACTTGCCTAAGCAGAAGCTTAGTCTGTTGATCTATCTCACTGGCCCATGGTATGCATTTAGATGAACAAGAGGTATTCTGATGGTCATAATAATTATGAGTATTCTAGTAACCTTATTCTTTTGGGCATGGGTTGAGGAAAAGGAAAGAAGTTTTGATAGGAAGTTCTGAGTGTGTGCCTGGATGAATTGCCCTTTAATTGATAAATTTGTGCCAAGGGCAGGCAGATGTTCAGTCCCCACATGGGCAGGGAAGGGAGGGGTGGCAAGGAGGAGGGAAATCTTGCAACTATATCATAATGCCTTTGAGGTATCCCACAAAAGCAGAAATGAGCTCAGGGCTTGGGTTCAGGCATCGCAGACTATGTACTGAGGTATTCAGATTTCACTTGCTTTTAAACCGGAAGTCTTCCTGGAGAAATGCAATGGAGCTGGGTTCAGGCTCCTGGAAGTCCTGTTTTCATTGTCTGTTGAAACTGTCCTAATCTGTTTTGAAATTGTCTCGTTGCTATTTGTTTCTCAATAAAATAATTTAAAAAAGGAAAAGAAAATGGAAAATTCCAAGAGTGTGGTTTGGCCAAGCATCTCTCCTCCTGGGCTGTCCCTAGCAGCACAGTCTCTAACCTCTGCTCTAGGCTGAGAATCTAATTTCCTGTGTCTCCATGACCCCCTTTCCATTGGCCGTGTTGCCTCACTCAGCACTTAGTGCTCCTGATATCGGTCGCTACACTCAGAGAGTACAGGGGCCCGAAGATGGAGTTCCTGCTGGATGTGGAGCTTGGGGCTGGGGAGGGTCACAGAGCAGCCTTTTTTTTTTTTTTTTTTTTTAAAAAAAGGGAGGTTTGAAGTGTAAGCTCTCTTTTTGAAGCTTGCTATTGAATTAACTTGGTTTTTAATTTTCTTTCACTTTGCTATCTCTTGATAGCAATATCTTGGCAGCAGTGGCTCTTTCTTGAGAGTGTCCAGTTCTCATGAATGGCTGGGACAAAGCAGCCGAGCATTGATTGCCCTGCTGCACACTTTGAGTTCTGATGGGTCCAGTGTGGGGGATGAGGCACCATCCTGCTGAGTGAGAGGCTGAGTTGGAGAAGGGCGGAACACAAGGCTTCAGGATCTCCATGCAGAAAGGGATGCTGTGCAGAAACCTGCTGCACTTTGAGAGAACTGAAGACATCAGTGTGGTAGAGAGAGATGTGAGCACGCATGTGCCCTGGAGCAGGACAGTTGTCCCTTGGTGTCCTCTAGGAATTGGTGTCAGGACCCACCATGGATGTCAATACTCACAGTTCCCTGTCTACAATTCTGTCACATTTGTATACAACATGCACCCCTCCCTCCTATGGACTTGAAATCACCTCTAGAATCCTTGCAATATCTAAAACAACACAGATGATGTGTGAATGGTTGTTATATGCTACTGTTCAGGAGATGATAGCGAGCATGAAATGTCTATATGCTCAGTATAGACACAAGTTTCTCCACAATTCTCAGCCTGTGAGTGGTTGAGTGCATGGATGTGGAATCCACGGATGGGGAAGCTAACTACATTTATATGGACCTGTATTTACATGTACTTATATGTGCGAGTACATACATGCACCTACATGCACATATGTACCTGGTGTGATCAAAATGTATGGTGAATGTTTAAGTTACAGGAACTGCACAAGACACATTGGCACCATTCCTCCTCACGGTATTCCCGCCCTTCAAGCACACTTAGCCCATGCTTCTTGCTACTTTCCGATGCAGCTGTGGAAATCCTTCTCCACAAGCATCTTTCTAGAATGTGGTCATAAACATAGTGAATGCTGCCTCCATGTGCCATCCTGCAGAGATGTACACTCATGAGAACGTGAGAGAGTCCGCATCCACCTTGCTCATCACATCTGGAGCTGTGTGATTACTGGCTGTTCCCCAACATCAAATAGTCATGAAAGGGAAAGCTTTTGAATAGGTTCAGGACATTGAGGCAGCCACAGCAGAGCAGCTGAAGACTCCAGGAGAGCGGACTTGTAGGCCTGCTTCAGAAGGTGGCAAGAAGAATAGCATGTGTTCAGAGTGAGGGGGACGTTGGAGGGGACTAATGGCAACGTGTCTTTTATTGTCATGAAATTTAAAAAATTTAAACATTAACAGTATATTCTGACCATACCTCATACAAAGATATGTAAGTATGTATGTGGGTAAATACACACACACACACATATATATATATATATATATATATATATATATATATATGAAACATATACACGTATGTATGGCTGTAAATACCCATACACACATTGGGATGTCTAAGCCAATCGGATTCCTCCAGATTCAGAGCCTCTCTCATGTGAGTATTTTGTGGTGGGACAGAGAGACAGAGTACAGCAGAGAGCAGGCAGGTGCTGCCAGCGGAAGGTGCATCACTCAGTGCTGTGTGTGGTCCAGTGCCCTACACCATCACGTTGAGCCTTAGCTGCGGCTATGGGAACATTAAGAGGTGAGCCCTGGAGGAGGTGATGAGGCCAAGGGATCTGCTCTCATGAGTGGGTGCGTCCTCACAAAGGCCGGAGGGAGGAGTCTCACCTAGGACACAGCAGCAGGCACCAACCTGAGAGAAGGAGCAGCGCTCCCAGACACCAGGTGGGCTGGCGCTCTGGTCTTGGGCTTCTCAGCCTGCTGAACTGTGAGAAGGAAGTCTCTGCACTTCATAATCACTGGAGTGTGGTGTTGCATCACAGCAGCACACATGGATCAAGATACCAACGGCATCATCACTGGGAGCAGCCCAGTCTTCTTCCTCCCAGCTAATTCTGGGAGCCTGAGCAGAACTCTGGCCTCTGAACTCTCCTACCTGAGAGGGGAGAGAGCTGAGGCAAGTGCTCACATCATCCCTCAGACCTCTGGAGGGCTGTTCTTAAGGGCTGCTGATCTGATGACATTTATGCACATGTGTGCATGTGTGAACACACACCCCTTCCAGGTGAACTTCCATGCCGTGACATTGCAATTCTTAGGTTGTTTCCTGCTCAGCGTGTTGCTGTGGAGGGAGCCTGGCCTTTCTCTGCCCATCCTGCTCAGCTCAGGGTGAGCACCGTGGCCCCAAATGGGGGCCTCCTACTCCCCTTGTCAGTATACTGAGAAACAGTAACATGCTCTCTTCCACACTGTGATGACTTTGCTCTTCCCTGCTGGGCAGCTGTTCCTGCATGGGGGTCATGACAGTGAGGCTCCTCCATCTCTAGCCTGCTCCTTACTGTGGCCTTGTTTGGACACTGCACCTACTGTATCTTATCCACTCATGGGGACCCTGATTGTCCCAATGTGCCCTACTCTCAAGAAAATACTGTCAGTAATGTGTGGCTTCAGTT